AACTCTTCCCTATTGTTATTCTTAAACATTTTTCTAAGAAGTCATCAAATTACTTGGAAAGACAAGGCCATTTAAATCCTAGAATAGAGAGGTTATATATGTAATCTAAAAGGGTCATACTTGTTTTGTTGCCTGACAATAACTTTAAAGGGGAGCTCAAACTGCTGTAAAGCAGCAGTCTTGGCCGGGTGACCCATTTAGAAATGGATCCGACCTTCTTGAGTTACATAAGTTAGGTTTTGAGTTCATCCGCCTGCACTGAGCATCAATATGTGTAAAATGCTGAATAATGTCCTGAAAAATAATCTAAATCTTGGTGGTACATTGAGGTAGCAACATCCCTATTTATCAATTAACAAAACTAAAGTTGTTTTCAAATTAAGAGTCTTCAACCTTTCTTTATGTTAGTCTTTGAACTATTTTCATAAAAATGTCAATTATAAATATTGTATATGAAGCATATTTTCTACGGATTGGATGCAGGTTGTAGGGATGACTCTAGATAATAGAATTTAGTCTAAGAAAAATATCTAAAAACAATATCCAACGGAGAATAGCCATTTTACTTTGATTAGTTTTTTTATGAACTGACTAAATTCTGAAGAGGATTAAGCGACAATTTTATTTTCATGGTTCTATTTAGGTAACCTTGGCCTAACTTATGAAGATTTAACAGTTCATTGAAAGCAGCTGAGCTAGTTTTATTTCAAAATGATTGTGAGCTATCTGACAATGGAGGTAAACAAGCATTCAATGGTTATTTTGAAAAAGTCGTTGCCTTTTCTGAGCTTTGTTTTGCTATCTGAGCTTTGGCTTTGGCTTCAAAAAGAAGTTTTCATGTAAGACCTCAGCGCTAATAAAAATTTATCGAAGCAAATTCTTCAAGCGTGAAACTATTGAAAAGCATCCAAATCCACAATCCCATAACCTTGAGTCGACAATAAACATACATGTACAGAATACAATGTCAGTCCCTAAGAAGTGATGAAAAGATTTCCTGTAAAGGGATTTATTTTTGTTGTGGTGAAAATGGCTGAGAATCTAATATTTGTGTGTTTGTTTTTAATCACTTCCCCTGTGACCCTGGAATGACATAAAGATGTTCCTGTAGAGGTGTTAAGGCTTCTCTTCAAACGAATCACCAAAGCTTAAAAGAAGATGAAGCTCCACTGTTGTTTTAATTCTTCCCATGTTCCTGTTTCTCACAAAGAGTAGACATTTAGAGTCGCTCTTATCCAGAGTTATCAAGGGGTTTATGCAACATTTGGAAAAAGAGAAAAACCCTCAACAGCCCAGACAAAGATATCATGTTACATAGCAAAGCAGGGCTGCTGGAAGTACTTTTGAACAGGGGGTGCTGTGAAATATTTGTTGTTCGTTTATTTTGGACAAAAGACCTATGAGCCTATAGGTCTATTTAAAATACAATTAAATAAGTAAATAATTGAGATAATCGATTCACTACTTTACTGTCATATACACTTCACTGCATGCAACCAGGGCCTGTAACACACAGACATTATCAGTTCTCTTTACGCAAACCAAAAGGAAATAATTATGTCATTATATTATAATTGAACATTATAAAACAGTTCTCTGTTACACAAAGAAACCCAATAACACTGTAAAATACTACGGTGCAGCATCATGCTCTTACTTTGAGCTAAAGGCAAGATGCCCTACAGGTGTCCAAATGTTGAGGTGCGCTCTGGGGTCGTGGAGTCTCTCATAAGTGAAAGGGTCAGAATTGCATTTCTGTGCCATATTTTCTCCTCGTTTCTGTCATTAGATTATGCAAATGTACTAGTCTTCAAGAGCTGAACATGCAGTGGTTGTATTGTTGACGTTGCCATGACAACGTAACTTCCATGAACTTGTGTTGATTAGGCCTCAAAATAATTAAATAAAAATGCAAATACATGTAATAGTGAATAAAAAAAGTCAAAATAATTTCCCCAAATATTCATAAGAAATGTATAAATTGTGCAAATTATTTTTAATACATTTTTTGAAAATGTATTAAAAATACATTTTCAAAAAATGTATTTTTTGGGGTGCTGAGGGTGCTTCCTGGCCACATTCCCGGTAGCATAGCACATTGTAAAAATAATGTCACAGCCCTTTTTTTAACACTTTGAGCAGGAGATTGCTGGAAAAACATAGAAGTCAATTGTTTTTAACTGTATGCTTGGCAATATATAATAATATATAAGTTATATGCACATTTAAAGCCTGGCAGTGCATTAAGGGTTCGGTCCTTTTTTTAGATGCCAAACAACATTCAAAGATGGCGAAGAGCAATGATTTGGACTATTTCAAATGCTGGATAGTTGATGATTTATTGTAGATGCCTTGGCCTTGGCTAGTCCCTCTTCATTTTCATTTTAAACATCAGTCTCTGTACTAAAATATTCTTTCCATCATGATTTGTGGACATTAAGATCTAAAGAAAAGTGCCATCTCCTGGTCAGACCCTATAATTCAGTGAAAGGCTGGAGTCAGAAGCAATCTCTAGCCCTATCAAAGAGCTTCTGGCAAGCTGTTGCTCATGTTGAGTTCTGACAGGTGTGATGGGCAGTATTGCAGTCATACAGGTTTGTCTGCATATTTTCTGTGGGGATATTGTAACTGAACAGTGGAATACAACCACATTTTTTAGTGGACTCAGTGGAGCCTTCCAATGGTTTGTGTGATGTCACCTTTCAAGCCTATAAACTCTTTTAGAGCAATCAAACATGGCACAAAGTGCACCTTCTTGTGTACGTCACTTCAGGATCACCTAAAGCCTTACCTTTCACTGTTAGCTTCCTTTACTAAAATACAAATTTCAATAGCAGAGTATTTTGCTGAGTAGCTGAAGTTTCAGTTGACCTAGGTTGACCTGTGCATTTGTAGAAGCGTTCTGCACTTTGCTTATTAATGCAACTACTGCCATTGCTTCTAGGCAGTCGGTACGGGGTGCAAATAATGCCAGAATGTAAAGGTGTTGTGCTGACCCATCACTGTGATATGAGTGTGGTGCATGCTTTGTTAGAGAGTTTTAGACACATGAGTTTTCTCAGTATTAGAAATGCCAACCAATAATGTCAGCCAAGCAATAAATTAGAAACCTGCAGTTGTTTGGTTTCTAAGCAGGTTATGGCCTTTTTACCTTTTGGCAACTTCATACTTTTCAAGTGTTTGGCTTTCGCCACAGGGGAGTGGCAGCCTAGTGGTTAGGGCATAGATCCTGAGGTTCTGAGTTCAAGTCCCACTCCAACAGACTGCCGCTCTGGGTCTCTGAGCAATGAAAGATTGT